AGCCACCCCCTCTCCTCCCCAGGGTGCTGGCTGAGTTTCTCCCAGATGGAAGGTCCTCATTATGACAGTTTCAGAGGTGACTCCCCAGATGCTGCAGTCTGAGGACAGACAAATCCCAGATACAAACTAACAACCTAAGAATCCTTACAAAGCTAGAGACCCCTGAGTATTCTCATCTGTAAAATGGGGGTGGGGGTGGGGGAAGCTTTAGAGATCATCCAGTCTGACCTTGTTCTAGAGAAGGAAACTCAGAACCAGAGAGAGATCTAGGGGCTTGCTTGGGGTCAAACTGATTAGCAAATACAGAGTTAGAATCAAACCTCTAGACCTGACTCAAGAACTTTGAACCCTCTCAATAATAACAGCAGATACAACTGGAGAGGTGAGGCCTTCCTGCATAAGGTGTGCTTTGAGGTGGGGAAAGAGGTGAAGTACAAGAATTGGTGTAGAGATTGGGAAAAACCTCAAAGCTGAAGGCACAGGGCACCCATGGGACGCCCAAGCAGATCGCTTTGACAGGGGAGTAACATCTGTGTCGATGGGATCCTGGGTCTGGGTTTATTCAATATGCATTTATTCCACCACTGTATGCTAGCTGGTAATACAGCAATATAAGTAAGTCAGGCCCTGCCCTCCAGGAGCTTACATTCTACTGTGTCGATCACCGGTCCTGTGTTGTGAGTGGGCTCTCTGCATAGCGGTTATAGATACTTGCCAACTCTGCTTCCCTTTAGTCTCAGGTTTTCTTGAGAAAGTATTTCCTCCGTCCCTCCCCTACTCCCGTCTACACATTGAAGAATTCTCTGGAGTTGACAAAGGAAGAGGAGGCAGGAAAACAAATTAACCCTGTTCCCATTTGTTCAGGGAGGAGCAGCATCTCTGGTGAGAGGACTTGCTGAGCCTTTTCTGGGCTGCTCGTCCACCTTGGTGTCCGCCTGGCACCCAGTTCTCACCTGTGGCTCCAAGAAGCTATAGCATGCGCAGCAGCCTGGCAAACTATCTGGGCAGATGGGCTAAACCAAGTTGAGGGCAAGTGACAGGCCTCAAACCCATTGCTCAATTAGGGAGTGCCTACCCCCAGAATGTGAAGACTTCCCCCGAGGAGTGGCTAGGTGAGAACAATTTGTTCCAACGGCCTTCTGAAGCGGGCATCGTGGATGGATTAAAGCTTGGTCAGACGTGGAATACACCAAGGTCATCCACTGCATCTAGGGTCGCGGCCAGTTGTCCTGACTTTTGCCTTGCCGCTGGTCTTTGATGACTGTGGAAGAGAGAATGAGGCTGATGACTTTGTGCCCCTCTGCCTCAGTTAAATCCAATTCATGCATGAGTCTAGATGTCACCCCAGGATGTCACTGGTCCTCTCTGAAAATGAAGGACAAACAACTTCACAACCGTCCCCCCAGACCAAGCCTTTCCTGTACCACAGCAGGAAGCTGGAGAGCTCAGTGAGCTGCTCCCCTCTCCCCCTCCACTCTACCCCCTGAATTCCACTGGACACGGACTTGGAGATTTGCAGCACCCTTATCTCTGCTCCATCCCGAGGACTCCATAGGCTGTAAAGAACACCCTTCCATCAATCAATCTCATCAGGATGCCCAGGTTGTGTGCATGGGCTCCCTCTCCTTCCTTGTAGGGATGATGACAGCTCTCATTTGGAGAGGCATTTGCCGACCAGTGCAGGAATTAAAACTGGTGGGAGAACTTGATCAGTTACGCATCTAGAGAAACAACACCGCTCCCAACAGTGCTACCGCCTCTTCCTCCCTAGTTCCCACAAAGGGTAGACCATTTATTTTAAACCATTTTTTCAGATGAACCATGGAGGGCCTGGAGCAGGAGTCAGGAGAGTTGAGCTCTAATCCTAGCTCTTCCATTAATTCACTTTATGACTTTAGACAAATTACTTCTTCTTTCTAGATATCAGTTTCCCCATCTGTACAACGAGAGGGTTCCATTAGACGCTCATTAAGTTCCCTCCGAACTCTGGTGTTCTGTGTTTTATGTCTAAGGCTTTTCTAAGAACACTGAAGCTCTATAGTCTAAGGTTCTTGCCAGCTCTGACGTTTTCTGTTCTCTATCCTAAGGTCCCGTCAGTCACTGATATTTTATCATCAAGAAAGATCGTGACCTCTGACCCAAAGGAATTCAGGGAGTTGCGTGGAGAGGTCAGGGGAAAGTGGACTGAGAAGAATTCACTCTATAGCCCCGGCAACAAATTAGTAGCTCCCCTTACCCCAGCCCAGTGTTCCCCTGAACCTTAGGTATGGTTGTTCAGAAGTCTGGCCTTCGGGTCCAACAAAGGACTTTTCTTTCATTGTTAGTGGTGAGTAGGGGTCTGCCACCTCCTCCCAACTCCCATTTATCTGATTTTTTTATGTACAGATATGGATGGATAAGCACACCCATATGCAGATATATTAGAGGACAAGTTATTTCCTCAATGGATCTCAGTTTTCCCATATATAAAATTTGGTTCATCTCAAAAGTCCCTCTGAGGTATGCCATTCATGTCCTAAGGGCCTGACATCCTATGTTCTAAGGGCCCTCCCAGCTCTGATATCCTGGGTTCTAAGGGCCCTCCCAGCCCTGACATTCTATGGTCTATATCCTAAAGTCCTTCTCAGGTCTGACATGTTATGATTCTAGATCATTATCCATGTAAGATAATGTGTTTGGCATGTGTTTGGAATATATAATATGCACCTCTGTATTCAACCCCACATCTGTGCATAAGCCCATAGGCATGTGCATGAATCTCTGTGTGAGTTAACATATATCTCCTATGTAAATGTAATAGCTAACATTTAAATAGCACTTACTATTTTCCAGGCACTGTGCTAAGCTCTTTGCAATTATCTCATTTGATCCTCACAACAACCCTGGAAGGGAGGTGTTATTATTATCTCCATTTTACAGATGAGGAAAGTGAGGCAAACAGTGGTTAAGGGACTTATCCAGGTTCATGCCGCCAGTAAGTATCAGATCTTCCTGACATCGGGCCTGGTGTTCTATCTACTGCACCACACATGTACATGGAGATGGATGAGAATACATCTAGGTACATGAGCTGTGGGTGTGCAGATTGTATGCAAGACCTGGCTAATTCTCACTTCCAAGGCAGTGCCCAGAGCACATAAAGCCCGACAGTGGCTGTCTTCCAACTTCCTCCACCCCCCACCCCCCTCGAGTTCTGGGGCTGGTTATTTTGAAACATTTAAATATAGCTCCTTCTGTTCTCAGCTTGCCCCGCCCCCTCCACGCCGGGCCCCCCCCCGCCCCCCCAAGCACTCACACTCCCCACCTGCCATGGTTTGATTTGCCTCTGTGGGCTCCTGGGGGGGAAGGAGCTCTGTGAGTGTATGCATGTGAGTATGTTTCCGTGTCTAGCAATGCACTTGTGTCTGTGCATATTAAGTGTGCAAATGTACGTGGGCATATCTGGACAGGAATTTGTGTATATGTCAGTGTAGTTTATAGGAGTATAAAAATCCTAGGATCGTAGGATTTTTAGGGGAAATGACACTTGAGAGATCATTTAGTCCAATCTGCTCATTTTGCGAGTGAAAAATCTGTATATACATGAATGTTTTCAAGTGCTTGTGTATACACGATTTGTGTGTGTGCATATATGTACATGGGTATCGCATGGGGTGCCTGTGCATCTGTGTGTTGCAGGCACGTTTGTGAGTGCCTGTACAATGCACACGGATGTGCATGTGTGTGCATGTATCTCTGCCAGTGTGGCCATGCCGTACACGTAGGAATGCATCTGTGTGGGGCTGATGGGCGCCATGAGCCGAATGCTGTGTATGGTTCCATACCGGAGGATGCGCCCACTGGCACAGCTACACGTGTGGGCCAGCCAGCCAAGCCAGGCATGTGCAGAATAGACTTACGGGTCCCATATATCACACAGCTCTGTTTGGAGTGTATGCCTGGGGGACAGAGGGCTGGGAGCACCAGATGCCAGCACCCCCATGGGCATACTCACACTTCCCTAGGGCATATTATGTAGATGGTGGGGTGGGTTAGGTGGGGTATTGTGGTATGTGTATTTTGGGGGAAGGGAGGGGACAGCTACCCCACAACACTTGTGTGTCTCTCTGCTTTGCCCTGGTCCTTCCAGCTGGCTGTCGGCCAAGCCCATAGACGGATTCCTGTAATTTTCCTTTTGGATCTTGTTTACAAGCATGATCCTGGGAGCGTCTGGGAGCTGTTGCCAATGGGAGGAGCCACAGATGGTTCCTGGGGTGGGGATCCCCTGCACCCTCTGCTCAGGGACCCGAAAGGGAAGTAGCCCCAGTGAGACATGTAGGTGCTCTGCTGTGCTCTACCCTCAGCTCAGGCCCAGGCCTGGGCAGCAGGAAGAGAAAGGTTATTAGTCCGGGCAGAAGAACTCTCTCCAAATTCCCGAATATTTCTAGCAAGCTGTCCAGAAGTTTGCATTGAGTGAGCACAAGGGGGGTGCTGTGCTTAGAACTGTACTGAGACCACCTCCCCCTCAAGCAGATTATGAACAGGTCCAGAGGTCCTTCCCAAGGATGGCTAGGAGTAGGAAAGGGCTTGGGAGTTAAGTCAGGGACTAGAGCTTGAACCCCAGCTTGGCTGTTGGCTGCCTCTGTGACCTTGGGCAGCCTGGCTGACCTCCCAGCCCTGCTTTTCATCATCCATAGAATGGAGGGCTTGGCTTAGGCATCTCTGAAGTCTGAGCTATTACTCAGAAACGATCTGGTGCTTCTGGGGGAAATGTCCTTTTGGCTGTTTTATTAATCTGCTCTAGGCAACTCAGTGACACTAAGTTGAAAAGAAGGAGCAGACAGATGGGGGAGTTACCTAGAAATCTCATATCCATTCCTGGCCCTGCTCACTATCTGATTAATCTTTTTTCTGCCTAATTAGAACTCACCCCTGCCCCTAAGCCTTCCTTTTCACAAACTCATAGAACATCACAACTGTGTAACGGGGCCCTACCTAGCCCTTTGAACAAAGAACAGCAGAGACAGAAGGTGCCTAGGAGGTGATCGGTTCCGACGCCTTCATTTTATAGAGGTCCACAGATCTGAAGGGCCTTGTCAGGCCAGCTAGGAAGGGCTAGGGCAGGAAGTCTGGCCAGCATGATCAGGCAAGCACGTCATAGGTTCAGGCTGGCCTGGAATCCAGTCCAAGTCAGACGAGGCAGAAAGGGCCAGTACGGTGGGTGCTAGAACACTCAAACAGGTAGGGTCCTTTGATCTGCAAATCAGAAGTAGGGAGAAAGTACTAGAAAGCAGGAACAGTGATCCTGGCTTGGAAGCTATCTAGCCTTTGAGACTTATATACACCCCATGGCTGTGGGTGGGGCCCAGACTTGCAGGTTTGTGACTGCAGACAGAAAGAATCCAGGGAGCCATGCGTGTTCCTGATTAAGAAGGGACAGAGTGCCAGACCTTCTGAAAAGCCCTCAGCCTTCCCTTCACTGAGAACTTGCCTACCCTTTCAGTTTGTCACCCTACCTCCCAGGGAACTTGAAGAGCAAGTGAGACCAGGGGGCCCCTTCCCCAGGGACTGCTCGGTTATAATCACATGATGACCAGCTCACATTTCTCACACTGTTTACTCCGCCCTCTTCTCCTAATAGCTGTGAATTAGGTAGTGTCAGTGATTTGTCCAGGGTCACACAGCTAACAAGTATTAGGGAGAGCTGGACTTCAGACTGGGGGTCCTGATGCCCTACTTCAGTGTCCTTTCCATCATGTCAGGAGACACCTTGGCAAAGGGTAATGACGTGCCTAGGAGGGCTTCAAGCCAGGGACCTGAGAGCAACTGCCCCGTTGGCTCCTGTCCGGTTACCTCTGGCAGCTTGCCTCTGGCCAACACTTTCCCCTCCTCCTGTATTTTTCCTATGCCTTCAGCTGATGAAAGCCAGGGCATTCTTCTACCAAGAGCCCCCAGCAGATAAAGTCTTAATTCAAATCAGGGAGGCCAATGGGGGAAATTTCAAGCCTCCTTCCAGATTAGTTAGGGAGGTATTTTTCCCCGATGGACTTGTAGAACATCATAAAATCTCACATTTCAGTAGTGCTTTATGATGTGCAAAGGTACTATCATTGTTTCCATTTTCAAAGGAGGAAACTGAGGACCAAAGAAGCCAAGTCATCTGTCCAAGGTCACACAGAGTGCTAAGGGGTAGAGATGGTACTCCAGATAGGGTTTTCTGACTTTATAAGGAAGAGACTTTAGAGATCATCTCAGTTAGGGGTTCTTAATCTGAAGCCTATGGCTCTTCTCAAAATCATATTTGTAATGAAGTAAAATACACAGTGAAATCTCTCCATGGACCCCTGAGCTAATCCAACTGTTTGAGTCACTGGAAACACTAAAGTTCAGTCCTGGGATTAAGAAAAACGGCCGGGCCTCCACCCTCTCCCCATCTCACCTTCACAAGCACAGCTGGATCTTGGCCACTGTTAAAAGTCTTTGGGGATAGAAGACAGCTTTTGAAGCTGAGAGAGGGGGGCCAACCACCCCCCCAGCCAGAATGGAAGAACTCAAGTGTCCAGGCCTTCCCAGTCTGGGGAAGAGAATGAGGGATGGAAGTGGAGGGGCCTAAGGAAGGTCAGTCGCTCTCTGGGGCCCAAGGCTCAGGAGGAAAGGGAGGAAAAGGAGGAAAAAACAGGAAATGAACCCATGTTCCATAGCCAGGCAGAGCTCAGCTATTGTTCGAAGAATTCCAGGGTTCCAGGGGCTGGCTGAAAGACACAGTTATAAACACACCCTTTAGTGCCAGACACTCTGCTATACACAGACACACACATCTACCACCAACACCAACCCACACAAGTTATACACACTGATGGCCTATGCTGGGATATACACCCTTATAAAGTGCAAACACACTGATAAGCACACACCCACAGACGTAACCACTCTTGCAGCCAGACATATAAAATACACTGACACATATATCATAAGCATTTTGTTTTTGTTTATTTGTTTCAGTCACGTCTGACTCTTTGTGACCCCATTTGGGGTTTTCTTGCCAAAGATTTGCCATTTCCTTCACTAGCTCATTTTACAGATCAGGAAACTGAGGCAAACAGGGTTAAGTGACTTGCCTAGGGTCACAGAGCTAGTAAATGTCTGAGGCCAGATCTGAACTCAGGTCTTCTTGACTCTAGATTTAGCTCTCTATCCCCTGCACCACCTATCTGCCCCATCATAAGCATATCTATTTATTGTCAGCTGGACCACACCAGCTTCTGACCTGTGGATGGCCAGAGCTGAACAGAGCAGGCTAGAGACAGGAGAGTCAGGAATCAGACAGAAGTTTAATTTCAAAGTAAAGGAAATGGCTTGCAAGCAAGGAGGGGGTCTAGACACATGTGCCAGGGCCCACCCCCCAGCTGGCTGAGCTCAGAGAACACCTGGTGCTGGTCAAACCAATATACTAATCATGTGATTTTGCCAGAGGGTGAGCTCATCCAGAGGGTGAACGCAAAGGATTGTCGTTATGCCAAGCTGAGAGCCCACAGCCTGCTTGCTGGGCCTTAGCTCTGGAAAACAGTGTCTCCTAATATCTTGACAGTATGTATGTATGTATACATATATATAAATGTGTATATATGTATGCATATGGACTACACAAATACCTATGTAGTCACAGATTTAGAGCTGCAACGGGAATTTACAGATGATCTAATCCAACCTCCTTTTACCCCCCAGCCACCAAATGTGCTCAGGTAGACAGACAACGAGTGAAACATACAAACATAAATGGGGGGTGGGGCTGGGGGTGGAGTGCAATGTGGAATCAGAGGAAAAGTACAGGATTAGAATCAGTGTGTTGACTTGAGTTCAAATCCCAGCTTTGTTATTTACTTGCTGTATGACCCTGGGCAAGTCAATTGACCCCTCTGAACCTCCCTGGAGAATACTTGGAAAATCAACCCAAGGGCTCTCTGTACCTCCTCCCTGCCTCCCACCCCAGTGCCTGTTACAACCCATCCAGATACCCAAAAGGAGGGGATGCTGATTCCTGCCCTTCCCACCACCACCTATCCCCCTCAGAAAACCAAGGTTGGCCTGCAACACTTATGAGAAATACGCTTGGAGGCCCACAGGGAATTCCAGCCCTGAGAAGTTGATCAGCTGGACTGAGGAATCCCAAGTAAATCACCCCCACCAGGGCTGGGCCCCTCAGGGTCAGCTAGGTGAGTCCTGCTGGCAGAGAGTTGTGTCTCTACCAGGCAGAGTCATGCATCTCTGGCTAAGGGATCCCATCGGAGGGGCTAGGATGGTATGATACAGAGTCCTGGGTTCTAATCCCAGCACTGTGTGTCTCCTGGGTAAGTCATTTCTCTCCGGGGTTGGGTTTCCTCCTTTGTAAAAGAGATTATCAGAGATCTAAGTCCTGGGAACCTATTCTAATGGGCCCCACTGAAGCCTGAGGGGCACGTGACCCCAAAGACTTCTGATCGTCTGGGAGGGGAAGGGGAAGAGGTCTTCCCCTAATTTAGCTGCCTGCCCTGCCTATGAGGAGAGGGAGGGAGGTCAGAGACCCAGTGCAGCACATACCTCAAAGTGACGCCAGGACTGATGGTGGCTCTTCTTCATCCTTTCCCTCCCTCGTCCAGCCCCACCTCCTCCAGGAAGCCTTCTGGATCACCCCACCCACCAGTGACTGGTCCCTTCTGTAAGTCTTGCCAGAACCACATAAACTCACTTGTCATCACATAATGTTGCCTGCTATCATTTCATAAAAGAGAGCCGCACAAAGAGTATTTCTTTGACTTGGAGCCTGTCACTTCCACTTGCTAGCTATGTGACCCTGGCAAGTTTCCTCATCTGTAAAATGGAGCTAGTAGTATTTGCACACCTTCTCCCACAGTGCTGCTGTGAGGACAGCAATTCTCTAAACGTGGGAGGGCTAAAGAAGAAATAACGATGTGGGGATTACTTCTTGTGGTCAGTAGGTCTTTAGGCCTTTTCTGAAAGACTCACTGCTTCAGAGGCGATGACTGCTATGCACGACCTGGCTCTGAGGGTGGCCCCTGCCAAGGACCAAGGCTGTGTGATCCGGGACAAACCCCCTGCCCTCTCTGAGTGGGAAGGTCCCCCGACACAGGCTGGAGGCGATGCTGCTCCCATTCCTACGTCACGCAGCTGGGGCGAGGATGGGGCCCCCCTCCCTCGCATGCAGTGGGCCCTGAGTGAGTGTGCACTGAACTGTGCGAGTGCATCCGAGACGTGTAGCATGACACAGAGTACCCCGCAGCTGCTTTCATTCTTCCTGGCTCTGGGATTATGAGCCATCCCACACCTGCTCCTCTGGTCTCCAGACAGGACTGAGCTGTTCATCACCGCCCTGCCCGAAACTTTCCTAACCTGATAGGGCCTGCTCAGGCTTGGGCTATGAGAGTCCTGGGCCATAGTGAGGCCTCAGAGGAAGAAATCTGTGAGGGTCAGCTGTGAATAATGTTGTTGTTGAAGCTTCTCCTCCTCCTCTGTCTTCACCATCACGAGAGGCAGATCACTGTAGGAGAGAAGTCTGGACTAGGAGCCATGAAGACCTGGGCCCTTTTCCCACCTCTGACACATGCTGACTGTGTGACCTTGGGCAAGTCACTTAACCGCTCCATACGCTAGGAAACTGTGGCTGGAAATTGCTGAAAAGGCACCATTTGGCACTGGTATAAGAAGTTCCCTGGGTCAGTGAAGTCACAGGTCCTCCTTGACTTACACACATACAAGGCATCACAGGTGGCACCCTGAGCCTCCTAAAAGGTTTTGTTTGGTAGTGTCCAACTCTCCGTGACCCATTTTAGGGTTTCCCTGGCAAAGATACTGCACTGGTTTGCCATTTCCTTCTCCAGCTCATTTTACAGTTGAGGAAACGGAGGCAAACAGAGTTACAGGGTCTCACAGCAATAAGCGTCTGAGGCAGGATTTGAACTTGGGTCTTCCTGATTCCAGGCCAGGCCCTCTACCCCCTACAACCCCCAGCTGCCCTAAAAGGTGAGAGACTCTGTAATAGGAACCTGCCTGGCACCATCTGTCCGTGGTTTGGCCAGTCTCTATCCAGAGAATCAGAGGATTTGGGCATGGAAATCTTTGGAGATTCTCTGGTCTAACCCTCCTCCCTCCCCATTTTATAGTTGGGGAAACTGAGGCCTAGAGAAATTATGTGAATGAGTAAGAAGTGATGCAGAGTGAGCCAAGCAGAATCAAAATAACAATTTACGGGATCACTCCCGCTGTGTGAATCAGAACTCAGATCTTTTAAAAACACGGGCACCGCATCTAACTGGACTTCCTTCTCACAGAGTTTGTGGGGGAGGGATTGCACACTGGGCGGCTTCAAGCGTGAGCTCACTAAGAGTTTATATGATGCTGTGAAACAAAATAAATTAACGCAGCCGGAGTGAGGTGACTCACCCTGGGATGAGCAGCCCCAGCTCCCCCGACCTTTTCCGGCTGCCTCACACTCATCGGTGGGCGCACAGTGGGACGGCTGGGGTCACAGGACAGGGGGAGGGAGAAGTGATCTGATGCAACCTGTCTGTAAGTTTCCCTACTTGGCCGTTGCCATCTCCTGCTACCATTGGGCATGGAGCCCATGGACCTCACCCGGGCTTTGTGGCCCTGCCCTGCCCACTGAGGGCGGCCAATGCTGCCTAGGGCGGGGCTGGAAGTGAAGGGGGGGCAGGGAGGGGAGTGTGGACTGTGAGAGTACCAGGGGTGGGGGTGGCAGGCAGGGTTTTGGCAGTGGCTGACCGTGGGTAATTGAGAAGGCCTGGCCCTGCGGTGACCCCAGCAGCTTGGGCAAGGGGCCCAGAAAGGCTGTGCGGCTGCTCTGTCTCCGTTTCCTTTCTTCCCAGAGTTGGGAGGTGGCTTCCTTCCCTCCAGCAGCTGCTCCTTCCCCCCTCCACTTCCCAGTCGAGGGAGGAGCCAGGGGCCCTATTTCCTAGATGGTATCCCTTGGGCAGAGAAGGCAGGGCTACATGGGTAATTCTGCATGGAGGAGCCATTCCTGGGCTGCCAGGCAAGAGAACCAGGTTCTAGGGTTTTAATCCAGTCCTGCAAGACCACAGGCAAGCAATGTCTCTTCTCAGGGTCTCAGTTTCCTCAGCTTTAAAATACTAGCAGATGGACTCTGTCCTTTAAGACTTTTCCCCAGATCTTTTCCCTTTTTTTCCTCTGCCTCAGCCTGAAGAGGTGCTACAAGGGCCCCCCCAACTTTCCTACCTCAATTCTACCTTATCTAGGAAACCTACCCCCCAATCCTCACCTCTACTCAGCTCTAACCCGGAGCCTACTCTCCACCTTCCAATGGCTGGACCCCTCCATCCCTGACCCTCCTAGTCATGGGTTGTAAACACTTCTCACCAACTAGAATCCCTCTGGCAAGAGGGAGGAAGGTCTTACTCTGCATCTCCGCCATCCAGCCCACCGGCCTCTACCACCTCTAGACCCCACCCCTCCAGCACTGCCATCCACACGCCCTCTGAACCCTAAAGACCAGGAGGGCCTTTCTCTGGGTCCTGAAACCGACCTCTCCGGTATATGCTGTGAACTCCTGCAGAGCAGATAGGCTCACTTTTCTATTTGTGGCTCTGGCACTTAGCACAGTGAGTCCTTAAGAAAAATTAAGTCCTCAATAAATGTATTTTCACTCACTCATTCATTCTTTCAAAGTCTCATGATCCTACAAGCAAGAGAACATTGTATACAGTAACAGCAATTTTGTTTTAAGAACAACTTGGAGCAAATAAGTTATTTTGACTATTATGAATACCCAATTAAATATAGAGGACACATGAAGAAAGATGCTATCCAAATCCAGAGAAAGAATTGATAGATATATAGAATAATTACATATATATATATATATATATATATGATATTTTTGCTATATATTTGAGAGGAATAGCAATTTCTGCATAGTAGATCTGTACAATCATCTTTTTTAATTGTACTATGTTATAGAAATGCTTGTTTTATTCCACAAATTAAAAATAAATTCTCATGATTCTATATTGATCCTAGGCTTGGCTCTGCCCCTAACTTGCTATATGATATTGAGCAAGTGACTCCCCTTCTCTGAGCCTCAGTTTCATCATATGTGAAAGAGAGATTAAAAAGTCTTGCTTCACTTATCTTGCAAGGTTGCTTTCTGGGTCTGTGTAGGGGGAGGGATGTGCTTTATTGGGATCGTACTTTTTGGAGCTTGAGCAGTCCAGTTGCTTTTTGTAACTGGTTGGCAACAATCCCTGTTTGCTCGTTTCCAAGGGTCACATTCGGGCCTGATGGAACATGGAAACTTCCTTCCTTGCTTACTCACTCTCTCCGTCCCTTCCCTGGCTCAGGGACTGACCCTTCGGCAGCTCTGTGTGATGCTGGACAAGTCCCTTTACCTCTGTGGTCTTGGTTTTCTCATCTGTATATGGGCATAAAAGTATTTGAGCAATTACATGATAAGGTTGTTTTGCAGAAAGCACTTTATGAATCTTTTTTTTTTTTTTGAGGGAGGCATGGCATACATCTGCGATTTCACCGGTGTGGAGAATTTCTGGTGTAGAAATTCCTTTTGTCTAGGGGCACTAAGAGGTACATGCACATGTTTCCATAGTCAGAGGCAGGACTTCTCTAGGTATGCCAGATCTCCCCTCCCGGAATTCTCACCTTGCCTAAGAATTAGCATCAGACTGGCAGTTGGGGGCAATCTCTGGAAAGTCAGAGAGAGCCTGACAATCGCAGGGCTAGAGGGGAGCACAGAGATCAGCTAATCTGACCCCTTCATTTTAATAAGGAAGAAACTGAGGCCCAGAGATGGAGAAGAGCAGTGAAATAGCGACAAGCCTAGGACTCAATCCCAGGCCTTCTGACCTCCCTCCTCCTGCCCCAAACTGCCCAGTCACTGAATTACAGGAGGTCACAGCCAGGCAGGGGAAATGAGGCTGACCCATAATCAGCCCGCACACGGCTCCCCCTGCTTAATGGCAGTGTGACCTTGGTCAAGTCACTTATCCTGTCTTAGTGGACAGCTCTCCGTCTTGGATGCAGGGGCTGGAGTACATGATCCTCAGGCTATCTTCCAGCTTTCAATCTGGGGCTGCTGGGGGTGCCCGGTCATGGGGCACTGCTTCTACATACTAGAGACAGAGATCAGTGAAAGAAAGGGCAATGGGGGGAGAATATGGGGGAAGTGCCTTGGGTAAGGAGAGGTCCTCAAGGTTAAGGCTGCCTAGGGCATCACTTTCACCCCCTCATTCCTTTGTTCAAAAACCTTCGGTGGCCTCTCAGTATCTACCTCTAAGATAGATATGGGCAGGAGGCTGTCTAAATCCATAGACAGGACTAGAAGGTGGCTGGGAGGAGAGCCCAGCAGGCCCCTCCAGCAGCCTACCTGGGGAGACGGCCCAGCCTCCGTGATCTCTTGCCAAGACAGCTACTGGGTCAGGCAAATCTGTCTGCCGGCCCTCAAACATCTCCAGTCTAGGGCTAAGAGTCCACGCTCAGAATGAAAGGCTGCTTCCTTGCTATATATACTCACCAGCCTAGTCCCTTCCCACCCAACCCTGGTTACACAAAAGACCATCATGAACAGCTTCTAAGCCTCTTTTTCAAAGAAGGTAGCAAATAGAAACCAGAGAAGTTACACAGATTAGAATATACCCAGAATAAAGGAATTCTCCCTCTGTTAAGCAGAAGCACTCTACATTGGAGAATTCGCCAGCAATAACAGTATGGCGTACTGCTCCCAAGCTAAAGGCTCCCTCACCTTCAGAGAAAAAAGGGAATTCTACCTGTCTTAGACATCCACTCACCCCCGTCCCTTACTGCAGTGGCCAACGGGACCACTTTGGTGGCGCTGACCTGATAGAATTGTTCATGGTCATGGGCCGTAAAGGTCAAGGGACTAAAAATGTTTGCCTTCTTTGGAAATGAAAAATGGAAAAAATCCTAGTGTGTTAAAAAGAAAGACAGTGGTCGTCCAGGGACAGTCTGAGAAAGAGAGGGATAAATTAGGCCCTGAGACCAGAAAAGGAAGCTCTGAAATCCTTTTGCACGGTGGGCAGTTTGTTTTTAAGTATCACTCAGTGTGGAGAACAGAAAAGGTTTCTGATATTTAACTGTGTTCATTTACATATAGCAAGTAGTGAGGGAAGCTAAGAAAGGTGACTGTTTATCCCCCTCCAAAAATCTATCCTTCATCTCCAAAATCGTTTCTCCTCCAAGTCACATATTTCAGTTCCTATGAATGGAATTATACATAGAATTTTTATATGGCATTGATTGGAATTTTTAATTAGATTTTTTTTAAAGGATTGAGGCCTCTGTAGGAAATTAAACATTTCCAAAATCTACACAAGGATTGGGCTTAGGGTTTTGGGGGGGGGTGTATGAAAATATAACACTGGCTCTGTTTTATTATTTTTTTTAATGTAAATGTCCATTTTCTAGGCACTTAATCATTGCCTCTTCCTTCACTGCAATTCTTAAGTTAGTCACGTTCAGATTTGCTATGTTATTTTTGGAGAGAATCTGTCTACAAGAGCACAGTATCTATCTACAACTGTGCATTTGGAAGAGGGTCATTATTTAAAATTTCAGTTTCAGAAGCCTGTGTCATAGAGGATGAAATCTGGTTTCTGCGATCATGGTCTGTAATGGTTCATCAGCTTCTGAAGCTATGAAGAAGAAATGCATGTCAATAAAATGATGAAATCTCCATACATGATTTTGAAAATACACTTGAAATTAAAACCTTGAAAAGATAAAATACGGTCAAGTGATTTTTTAAAAAATGAACTCTTGAGCTGGAAGCTCAAGCCAGGAGAGAGGGCATTATCTCCCCCAAAGGGCCATGACGGGGCTCTAGGTCAACATCTCATCTTTCTGACTAGGGCCTCTCCAGATTCTTCCTTAAAGAGGGTGGCCAACATCATTACCTTACATAGGTCCACAGGGTAAGTTGTCTCTCAACCATCTGGAGTCCTCCCTTCCTTACAAGAAGGTAGGGCACTGGGCCACCCTGCCCCCTCAAGGTGTATCTTATCTGGGAAGCCTTGGTCAAGTCACTCCATTTGGGGGCTTCCATTTCTTCAGCTGCACAGTGAGGGAGCTGGATCCGAAAGTGACCCCAGGCACTTTGAGTTCTAGTTCTGTGATCTCGTGAAGTTGACCATTGAGTCTCACTGTGTTCTTCTAGACCCGTCCTGTCACCCCAGTCATCTCTGGCTCACTGCCTTGGCTCACATCAGCCTCACCCTGTGATGTCTCGCCTCCTTATCTTTTAATTCTCTACATTTTCCTGTGGAACTTTCTGTGGTATTTTTTCATAGACACAAGTATTCTGGGTATGTCTCTATTCTCACAAGGAGTGTGAGCTCCTTCAGGACAGGGGCTGGGACTCAGACTGATTTTCACTAGCACAGCCTTGATTACTGGAGAAGTCATTAATAAACACAGCAGATGCTGATGGAAAGAAAACAGACAGGAAGCGAGTGGACAGAAAAGGGGCCCACTGTGGACCCTTAACACCATATCACTGTGAGCCAGCTCCCAGAGAAGGCAAAGACAGATGAAGAGCCAACCCCCAAGGAGAGAGCAGTACAAACTCTTCACCCAAGCTTCTCTCTTCCCCACCCTCCATGGGAGCCTTCCTCCTGTGCTTCCTCATGCAGGAGAGGTAAACCCTGGGCTCCGAAAACAGACCACAAGTTCTAGCCAGCCCTATTAAGCTGGCGAGGGTTCAAGTACCAGCCCAGTAAGTGACAGGCACTGTGTCTTTATCATCTGGACCCGACTTGGCCAATGGGGGGAGAAAAGAGGGAGGGGTTAGATTCTTGCCCAGATGGGCAGCCAAAGGATGCTGAATTATTTTAGGCCTAGTGACTGAAGACCTGGGTTCTAACTTGGGGAGAGGGGGAGATGTGCTTCAGTGAAGGGACCCATCCATACCGAAGACACAGAAGACAATTTGAAGTAATAAAACTTCCCCACCAGATGTTTCTAATTGCCATTCATACCACCACAACCTCTCCTGTATCTGTCTCCTCACTACTCACTCTCGGGTGCCATCCTTATCATCTCTCAACTAAACTGTAAAAATGGCCTCGAATTTCTTTGTCTTGATTCTCACTCGACTCCAAACCATACTCCACATAGCTGTCAAAGTGGTTTTCTTTAAGCCCGGGTCTGACCATGTCACTCCCCTAGCCAATAAACTTCTGCCTCCCTTTTCCCTCTAGAATCAATTATAAATCCTCTGTTTGACTCTTCGGGCCCTTCCCCACCCTCTCTGGTCTAGCCAGCCGGTCTTACTGATCACCACCTGGCACTCTACCTCCCATCTCTGCACCTTTGCCCTGGCCATCTTTCGCTCCTGGAATGTGGCTACCTCCTCATTTCCACCTCCAAAGACTCAACTGAAGAAGTAGCTACAAGGAACCCCTGCACATGCCAGGCAGCCTCCCTGAATTCCAAGGCAGAGCAGTGACAAGGAATGCAGTAGCTCAGAAAGAGCTTCAGCAGTGTGGGAAGGCTGCCCGGAGGAGGTGGAGTATCTGCTCAATGTGGACGGGCTGGGGGAGAGGCAGCATAATTTAGCAAAGAAAGGAAGCGTCTTTGGGACCAGGAACAGAATGAGCAAAGGACAGAAAAGGCCCAGGAGAGTCTGGGCCCAGGGAAGAGAGCAGGTCAGCCAGAACTAAGGGCACAGGAGCCCGGGTAGGGGGAAGTAATGCTGGAGAGGCAGGCCGGCCTCTTCTCACCCTGGGACTGCTGTGTTAACCATTGGATTGTGTAGATTAAAGTGAGTGCCCTGATGGATCAACTCAGATCATCAAATGTGTTTAGGGATCTTGCAGGCGCTATGATGTCAAGGGGGATGCTGGGGAAACCAAGCCCTGCCACCTCGTGTTGTTTTTGAAGGTGTTATCAGGATGGAGTCTGGATTCCCTGTCCCTCCTCCTCACGGTTCAGGATGCCCCTCCTGTCTTGGGCACCTGCCAGAGGAGATGGGAGGCAGTGGGTGGGAGGAGTGACGGGAAGGTCCTGAGCTAGACATTGACTATGGGACATAGAACCAATCCAGGTGTCAGTTTCCTTTTCTTTTAAATGAAGGGTGGTATGAGATGATCTCTAAATCCAATGGTTCTGTGATCCTGGCCCACAGTCTCTCCCTCCTCTGGATCCTTGTGGCACTATCAGTATTGGGCCTGAAATTAGAGACCGTCTGCTAATTGTAGCTTTCTGTGTCCACATCTCCCCACCTCCACAGTAAGCCATCTGAAGATGGGGATCCCACCTGCTGCTGCGGAGAGGAAATAAGGGTGGGGTTAGAGAGTCAGCAGACTTTTTGGCTCTGACATTTACTGTATGGCTTTAAGCCATTTGTTTCTGCTCCCTGAGCCTCATACACGAGTTGTGTATAAGATGCTTATCACCTAAAAATGGTGAGAACGTCCACCCTGACAATGTTAGAGGCTTATAAAGAACAAACGAGGTGTGCATAAAATGCTTTGTAACCCAACCAGCTCTATAAATTGAGTTACTATAAGGGTTATTATTATTAATTCTTTATCCCCTACCGTGCCCAGCATTTTGGGGCAACTCCCCCTCCCAATGCACATCAGTACCTTCTCTGGGAATGACAGCCTTAGGAAGGTGAGAACACTCAGGGTCTCACTTGTTGGTGAATAACTTCACAGAATCCAGACACAGAATCAGAACAGAAAGGGGCCTTGGAAATTATCTAGTCTGAAGAGGAAACATAAGACTGACTTCATCTCGGAGCAATCTTGGTCATTAGAACTGATACAACATGCATATTTCTATGAATTCACAAGGATGAGAATGAGGCAAAATGTTTTCAAATGTAAAAACACAGCTCTCATAGTTTGAGAACAGAAACATACAAGCCACAGAATGGTCGAACATCACTGCCATTTTCTCTCTTTCTTAATCCATTCCCCCTTTGTAAGAACAGGAAGCTGTGCCAGGTAGAATTGGGCAATCTCCCTGTGTTTCCCCTTGTTTTAAAGAAGTGAAATCTTGTGGCTTATGTGCTTGATGTCTGTTTTGGGGGCAAGTTCAGTCCTCTCATTTTACAAATGGGAAAGGTGAGACCCCAACAGGGAGTTAGTATCCTATCTATTAGTCTGCCCTGGGAAATGGGGGGCTCCCCAGACCTGGAGGTCTTCATAGCCTGGCTGAATGATCACTCGTTGGATGTCTTATTAAGAGTATGGCCCCCGGCCACAGCTCTAAATGCTGGGGCCCCGTCAAATAGCAGAGCCTGGCAGACAGTCAGAACTGAGCCCGCCTAGCTGGGGGCTTGCCAGGTGCCACCAGGGTGTGCATGAAGGGGCATCCTTCCTTCCCTCCAACCAGCTGCTTCCTTACTGGCCGCCCCCTGACCCTCCAAGGCCTCTCTTGCTAGTGAGCTTTGGGAGCTACCATCCCACTGTTTTCTGGCCTGGCACAGACTCAACGATCCAAGCGGCTCTAACTGGCACTACCTCCGATCCTCCGCCTCCTCCTGCCCTCTCCACCCCCTCTCGCCGGTGCCCTTTGGAGCGCTGGCTATCGCTAACTTCTTGCCTCCCGTCACCATCCTCCGGGGCTGAGTCCCAGCACACCTGGCCCCCTCCCCGAGGCCGGCTGCTCCTCCTCTCTCTAGCTCCCGGACACACAGGCGGGGGACGAGGGGGACCGGGGTCTTCCTGGCACTTCCCCCCCCCCTTTCTGACCCTTCCTCAGCGCCTTCCACGTCCGCTCTGGCCTGTCCGCGGTTCCTCCCCAATCAACTCAGTTCCCGGCTACTCCGACTTCTTCTCCACCCCGATTTTCACCTCCTCTGCACTGCTTTTCAACCAAACCAGTTTCTCCACTACATGAACAGGAGTGGGTCAAAGCTACGACAGCCTGCCCCACCCAACTGAGTTTGCCCCGGGTGCCAGAATTCCCGGTTAAAGGTGTGCCCTGCACCCACTTCACTCCGCCGAGCTACTGGGCGCTCAGCGGCAAGTGCACGGATGGCTCGGCTCAGTTTCTCCTTCTGTGAAATGGGCGGAATAAGTCCCTATGCTCAGCCTCAGTCCCTCAGCAGGTGGATATCTGGATCAACAGCCCCAAGTATCCCACGAACTTAAGCCCAGCACATCCCGAGGCTGGGGGGGAGGGGAGGAGAAAGGGGAAGGGGCCGTGCAGGGGGTGGGGCTGGCGCGTCCCCACCTCTCTTCCTAGAAGGCTGGGGGGCTGTCTGCATTCTTCTCCTGGCTACAATTCGCAGAAGAGGCGGGGAGTGGTTGCTACGGCAACGGAGTTGCGTCACCCTTCGGGGGAGGAGGCGGAGGCCCGCGGTGAGCTCCGGTTCTTCGGCCCATAAAGCTGCCCTCCCCCGCGCTCCAGCCCCTCAACCTGTGGTCGGGCCCCGAGGGCGGGGGGCGGGGCCTCTACAATCAGCCAATCCCGGCCGCTGACTGCGAGAAAAACAGAGCGAGGCTGAAGAGGAGAGAGGGGAGGCGGGCCCCGCCCCCTTCCGCCTCCCGCCTCCCGCGTGGGTGACGTCACCGGCTCTCTAGCGGCTCCTGGCGGCCTGTTGATGAGCCGGGTAGCGGGGTTTGCCGGCTTCTGCTGCCTCGAAGGCTGCTCCCTGCCTTTCTTGGCTGCCTCCACCCGGGCTGGGCAGGATGGGGAATGCAGGCGTGCTACCCCTACGTGCCCCCTCCAAGGAGCTCTTTTCAGGCGTTTAGCAAACTACTTATTCAGTGTCCTGGAGGAAAATACACAGCTTAGAGAGACTTGGGAGACCGGCGAACTTGAGGACTGAAGGAGGGGTCTAGGAAGGCTTCCTGGAAGAGGCTACATTTGAAATGGATTTAAAGACTGGCAGTTTTCAACAGGTCCTATGCAGGCCAAGTGACCAAAGGAACTTCCCATTCTTTTGACTCAGCTACTTAAAGCTATAACAGTCTTCACTGAAATCATAAATTAGGATGAAGGGGAGATGGTCTCAGAGAAATCTGAGAAGACTTATATGAACTGATGCAAAATGAACCAAGAGAACACTGTACCCAGTAACAGCAACATTGTAAGCATAACCAGCTGCAAAAGACTTAGCTACTATGATCAAGACCGTGATCCGTGGCAATTCCAAAAGACCCATGATGAAAAATGCTATCCACCTCTAGGGAGAAAACTGCAGATTGCAGACAGAACTGCTTGACTGCAAATGGAAGCATTATATTTTCACTTTTTAAGTTTTTCTTATTTTTTGGGGGGGGTGATGTTGGTAATATGGAAACAGGTTTTGCATGACTTCACATGAATAATGGGTATCGTGTTGCTTGCCTTCTCAAAGGGCCTGGAGGAAGGAAGAGAATGTGGAACTGAAAATAAAAATTAAAAAAAAAAATCACATATCAGTCATGACCGCTCAGGTTGTCAGAGTCAGAAGAGATTTTAAGGCATAGAATTCAAATCAACAAATATTTATTAAGTTCCTATTATTATTAGGTACTGGAGCTATACACATTTTAAAAATAATGCTGTCCTGCCTGTCCTCAAAGAGATTACATTCTATTGGGGGGGGGATCCCTTTATATGGCAATCCTTTCCTCCCACTCTTTCACCTGCAGTGATACTATATCCTGCTCCTCATATTGTCTGTTCTCAAACTTCTGTTCCCTTCTAAAGCCATTGACTTAATATTACCCAAGATCTTCTCCATTTCCCTTTCAGCTGACGACCCCACAGTTCACCATCTCCTCCTCATTTCTGCCCTTCAGAGACTTTGTGATTACCCACTCCCCTTCTGTCCTTTGGTCCAGTCTTAAGACATGAGGTGCCCCTTGTCCTCGTGCCCTTGACCCCATCCCCTGCCATCTCCAGGAGCTTGCTGTTTAGATCATGCTTCCTTCTCTGCCCATTTTTCAGCTTCTCCTTATCCGTTGTTTCCTTCTCAGCTGCTTAAAAATATGCCCTGATCTACCTTGCCTTAAAAAAAATTCCCTAAAGTTCTGCCGTAATAAATAGAGAGAAGCGGCTGTATGGGAGGGATGCTGGGAGGTCAGCGCCACAGACTTAGCATCGGATTGGATATGGGCACCGAGGGAGAGTGAAGAGGTGAGGATGAACCCCTAGATGTCAGCCCCGAATGACTGGAAGAAAGTGTGCCTTCAACAGAAACAGGGTCATGAGCAGACTCACCTACTCACTATTACATACATAACATGACATCTCCTCCCCCTGCACCTTTGCCCAGGCTGTGTACCCCCGTGCCTGGCACACATTCCCTTCTCCCCTCTACCTCTTGGAGCTCCTTTTCAAGGCTCAGCTCAAGTGTTACATCTTTCAAGAGGTTCTTTGTGATTTCTGACTCTCCCAGTGAATACTCCCCAGCCATATCACTCACTTTATATTAATTTTTACTATAGCTTGTATTTGCTTATTTGTAAACATGTTGTATCCTTCCTATAGAATATAAGCTCTTTGAGGACAGGGGCTGTCTTACTTTTGTACGGTATTTGCATCCAGCACATTGACAGAAGGCGCTTGCAAAATGCTTGTTAATGACATGCATGGACACAAATATATATGTGAGGTGATGAGGGCCTAAATTATGGTGGAGGCAGTTTGAGGAGAGAGAACGGGACCAAAGCAAGGGAGGCTGTGGAGGCATAACCCATCAGACTGGGTGTCTGACTTCGGAGGGTCAAGCTGATGCAAGAGAACTCCCAGGCTGTCTGGTCTAGGCTCAGGCCCTCCCTGAACAAGGATTCCTTTCACGAGGTCTTTCTGGTAGGTCCTGCCATCCCCACCCCCAGCCTGTGCAGTCCAGCCTCCCTTGTGGATGGCTCTGCTTTGATGCTTTCTCTTCTCTCAAGCCTCCATCTGCCACCCTGTACTTTCTGCGCATTGCCCACAAGTCCAGGGCCAGGCACAACAAGATGATTCTGAGAACCGCAGGCCTGGAAGGGACCTCAAACGCCGCCATTTTAGAAATGGGAAACAGCCCAGATTGGGGAAGAGCCTTACCAAGTCCTCCCTCCAGTTTACCGCTGTAAGCCGCCCGGCCCATTCTGGGCTCTTTCCACAAAACTGTTCTGTTTCCCAACCTTTACTGGAGTCTGTTGTGTACAGAGCGTTGTGTTAGCAGTTGTGCAGGATTGAAAGAAAAATCAGATAAGACAGAGAGGGCACAATCCACTTTGGGAAACTGTAGAAAAGCAAGCCACTCACCCTCTGATGACCCTTTAACAAAAACAAAACACTTTCCTCACAAAAGGCCAGAGAGGCCTGCCCACACTATTTATTTATATTTTACATATTTATACATAATAATATAATATTTATATATTATATTGTTTTATATACTAGTATATTGTTTTATATCTAATTTGTACATTATATTTATATATTGTTTTACATGTCACTCATACTATATAGATATTATATTATTTTGTATATTATTTATACTATTATATTTATATATTATGTTGTTTTATATATTATTCATACTATTATATTTATATATTGTTTTATATATTAGTATATTTTTATTTTTTATTGTCCCCATTTAACAGATGAAGAAACTGAAGCATTGAGAGAGAAGGCAGAGTGTCAGAGCCAGCGAAGCCTTTCCTGAGTCCAAGTCCAGTTTTCTTTTCACTGAGTCATTCTATCTCAATCTCATGCTTTATATTAACCCACAGCTTAAAAGCTGGCAAAGTGCTTTAGAGCCATCATGTCCTTTTATCTTCACAATGTTCTGTGGGATAGGTGGAACAAGTATTATTGTGCCTATTTTACAGATAAGAAAACTGAGGTTCAGAGAAAAGGAAGAAACTTTCACCAGGGTCACGTGGCTAGCAGTCGACTGACTTTGCAGTCGACTGAATTCAGCAAATATTGAAGTGCCCGCTGTGTGCAAGGCACCGTTGTAGGTGGCAGGGAGGCAAAGATGCATGCCCAGCCCTGTGGGGGCATACACAGACGGGTAAGAGGCGCCCGTCCTCGAGGGTTTTACAGTCTAGCTGGGGAGGCAGGATGCATGTGGCAACAATGAAAAATAAGTACATGTTACTTTGTGTTCATTGCCTTCATAGGGATCCTGCTTTTCCAGCGAGGTTGCAGGGGTACATGCCGGGCGACTTTAATACTGACTGACGGCCCTTGGAGGCAGAGAACAAGGTCAGTTCTGTAACTGACCAGCCAGTTTATCTTGAGCAAATCATTTGACAGTTTAACCCCTTTTCTGGGTCTTAATCTCCTTTCATATGTAATACTTGGGAACTATGAATGAGGCCACCTCCTCTCCTTTTCTCTCTAGTTCTATCCTGTCCTGTCCTGTCCCTTCCCCTCCTCCCTCCTCTCCTTCCCTTCCCTCTCTCCCATCTTTTCTCTCTCAAATGAGAGCATTATTTGCACCACCCACCTCACCAGGTTGTTGGGAAGGACAGCTAAATGGTTCCATATGTGCGGGGGGGGGGGGGGGGCGGGCCGTGGAATCAGGAAGACTCATCTTCCCAAGTTCAAATCCCTTACTAGCTGTATGACCTTGGGCAAGTCATTTACCCCTGCTTGCCTCAGTTCCTCATGTGTAAAATGAGCTAGAGAAGGAAATGGAAAACCACTCCAGTATCTCTGCCTGGAAAACCCCAGATGGGGTCACAGAATTGGACATGACTGAACAACTTAACAACATCACCCTCAGTGGGTTGTTGGGAGGGTCAGTAAGATAACGTAGATAGAGCACTTCGAACCTGCAATGTGAACGTAAGCTAATGGTGATAAGAATAACCAGGCCTTTCTAGGTCTCTGGGGAAATAGAGCACACTACTTCCTCAGCTCACCATGGTGCCAACCTAAGTTGGCATCCAAGGGGCATCCTCAGCGGCACTGCCTTCAAACACCTTTTCTGTGGTTTGGTGGAAGTATGTCTGGACGAGGTGTCAGGAGACCTCCAGGTTCCTAGGCCTGGCCTTCTCAACCCCTCTGTCCCCTCGCTCTAGCCCAGGGAGGAACGGGGGACAGGGTACCCTCCTTCTGGCAACCGACCCTGCCCCAATTGCTCCCTCTAAGTGGGAGCCTCAGCCCAGGACAGGACAGAGGTGGCAGTCTCTGGCAAACAGCTGGTGGAAAGGCAGGCGCTTAACCCCCAGCTGTTCTCAAAGGGGCTCGGGATTCTGAGTGGATTCTTTTAGAAGGCAGGGAGGAGAGGTGACCTCTCTTCTGATTGTCTTCCAGGACAGAGTTCGAGTTGTGGGGACAAGGGACAGAGAGAGGACTGCCCCGCTCTGACATATCAAAACATGAGCAGCTGCAAAGCTGTGCTTCCCCTGTTACTGAGGTCGTCCGGCCAATGGCAGCGGAGGGCAGGGTCTGGCCCCATGCCCCTGTTTGGGTGCCCAGACAACCGCAGCAATCGTCTGCGTGACCCGTCTGCTCCCACTCAAC